CAGAAGCCCCTTTACAGAGAAATAAAAATGCCTTTTATTTATCCTCACCTGAGAGTTTGGTCTTTTTGCAAATGTGGTCTCCTTTATAAAAACAGATCTAGACATCTCTAAATAGAGAATTTCCTTTATATCAATTTGAAGAAAATTTTCAAATGTCTTAAGTTAGCCAGCTTATTTTCCAGGATTCTGCACATGGCTCCACCCCATTATAATGATATTTTCAGGACTAAATGGTCAAGCAAGTATCAAACTACAAAGCTAGGAAGAAAGATGTCATTTCAAATTGGAAGATTTGAAAATGAAGAATTTAAGGCAATATTGATGGTAAAAGTACACATTCATTCATTATAAGTAAGAAAAATGAAGGGTCCACATGTTTTAATCACCTCTGTAATCTCCCTAATACAAGACTATAAGGTGATGGCGATATTCATGTAAAACCAACTACAAAGCTAGGAAGCTTTTTCATGGCATGTTATTGAGTCTAACACAATCTAAGCATGCATGCATTTAATTTTTGCAGTTATAAAGTCAGTAACAAAACATCCTAATAATGACAATGCTAAAACATATCAAATGTGTTCTCACACTCTTGGTTTTTTGTCATGAAGGAATTTGCAAAACGAGAAGATGATTTTCACTAATGGAATCCTGAAGTACCCTGGATCCCCATAAAAGGCCATAAAGCAGGATCTAATGACTTCAGCGTTTCCCACAAACAACAAGTGAACAACAGCATTTCACACCAGCCCACAGAATTTTTGGGTCTCCATGTGACTTTCAAACACTCAAGGACATTACATATCAGATGAGAACTATTCTGCATTAGTATTTTACATGAAGAATTTAACTGCAGATAGGCACAAGTAGGTACCCTCAGAAAATGTAAAAAAAAAAAGTGTATTCCATACATGTTCTGATTCTTCACTGTAGTGTACCTGTAGATGATTTTTCCTTAACGAATTTTTCCTGAATCATTTAGCCACATTAGATTTCATTGGAACATTTTGATTAAGTAATAGGAGAACTGTCAACACCATCTCAACAAGGTGCCCTGTGAGACACTGTTTGCAGCCCAGATAAACAGGTACTGCTGGTGGTAGAGTACCCTAGAAAACCTGCCATTGCACATGTTAGGTCTGTGAGTATTGTAACAAACTGTCAAAACAGGAAGTAATGTGTGCTTGTGGTGTGTAGGCAGAACTCAAATTTATTCCTTTTGCAGTGACTCATAACCACATTCTGTGGATGATCATGTCATCTGATGCTGTTTTCTATACAACAGAAAAAAAAAAAGGAGTGAAGGAAAAGGGGAGGAGAGTGACAGAGCGGAGGGGAACAAAGGAATAAGAGGGACAGAAGAAGGGGAGAGGAAGAAAGGGAGGCCCTAATGGGAAAGGAAGGAAGGAAGGAAGGAGGTAGACAGTGAGGAAGGATTTTGACATCCACCTACTACTCCTTGACATCTTTTCTGACAATTCTGTAATGGATCCATGATTTGAAGTGGAAAGTATCATTATTTTCTACCTACAGTTCTTTGATTTATTTGATAAAGACTTTCCCATTCCATGCTAAGATTCAATTCAATTTAATGTGACCCTTTTTCTTTCAAAGCTGTGGCAGGGGGTTGGTGCTGTGGTCCAGGGGCTAAACTGCCACTCAGCAAGCCAGCAGAAGTCCTCTGCAGAATTCCAGGTACTCTGCTTCCTATCCAGCTTCCTGGTAATGCACCTGGGAAAGCCACAGCTAATGGCCCAAGTGCTAGTGCTCCTGTCTCCCATGAGGGAGACTGGGATGGATTTCCTGACTCACGGATTTGGCCTGGCTCAGACCTGGCTACTGCAGCCATTTGGAGAGTCAGCCAGTAGATCAAAGACCTCTGCGCACTCTCTCTCTCTCTCTCTCCTTCTCTCTCTCTGTACAACTCTTTCAAATTAATATAAAAAAATTGGGGTCTAGTAGTTCAGACACCAGTTGGGACACCTGTATCCCATATCAGAGTGCCAGGGTTTGAATCCAGCTCCTCTCCCAATGCCAGCGTCCAAGTAATAAAAACTCTGGGGGCAGCAGATGATGGCTCAAGTAACTGAGTCCCAGTCACCCTTGTGGGAGACCTGGATTGAGTTACAGGCTCCAGGCTTGGGTCACTGCAAGCATTCTGGGAGTTAACCAGCAGATGGGAATGCTCTCTCCCGTGTGCACTCTCTCTCTCCTCTGTCTCTGCTTGTCAAATACAATAAAATTTCCAAGGCTTCAAAAAGAAAAATGTTTATTTCTAAAAAGGCACAAATCTTCTATTTTCAGATTTGTCTTCTTTTGGTAGATCAGGTTGAAACTCCACCAACATAAAATAAGAAGAAAAAAAGTAACTTTTAAATAATCGTAAAAGAGCTTTAATTTTATCACTTTAAAATAAAAGTAATTTAGAACCATGATATACAAAATAATAAAAACTAACATGTTTGTTTTGTTCTTCATACAAGGAATGAAAATTAAGTCACTCTTCATTGTATGAATGGCATATCCAACACAGACCTGCACTTATATACCTTTTCATAATTTAGAATTACAAGTTAAATTTCCACATCTAAAGTGTTTACCACCACCTAAGTTTAAATAAAATGCATAGTTAAAGGTTAATTCATTGATTACTTCCTATCTCTCACATTTTCCTTTGGAGCTTTCTGAAAAAGCAAGCAATTTTTGTGATGTTAATGACACTGACTAGAATAAGGATCTATATACCACAGGTCATAGGAACTTGTTATGTTCCTGGCAGTTTTTTAATTTTTATTTTTAAAATGCAGACTAAACAAAATGTAAAATGGTTTCACAAAAACACGAATTCACCCTTTAGCAAAACTGCCCTGCCATTTAATGTATTTTAAAAAATAAATATTTGAAAAGTGTATCCACAATGTTCCTAAGAAATGGTTTTGAATTCCAGAGTCCCAAGGAGATGAATTGGCTGTCAGATAACAATGTGCTTCCATCAGATGGACTTGGCAGTTGTAAACAAAAGGAATTTTCTCAGCTTTTCCTCACAAATATGAAATATTTGCTCTCGGCCAACAGCTGGGGAGACTTAAAGAAGTCCTGCATATATATTAGTTTTCATTCAAAATTACAAATCCTCCTCCCACTCTGAAACATCTGACTGAGTAGAATAGAAAACTGTTCTGAGTTGAAGCTACATTCCCAGGAAAAGCAAAAGGCAAAAAATAGTACCTACTCACAACTCTAATAGAATTTCTGATCATCCTGGTTAATAATTTTTAGGAAAAGTTAATTTATTCAAAATGAAAGTTCAAATGGTACTCTGAGGTGGCTTAAAAAAAAATGACAACAAAGTTTATTTTGCTCTACTATTCCTAAAAATATTGAAAACTATAGTAGAACCAAAATAAAATCTGCATGAAAAGCCAACAAGATTCCTTCAATGATTTGGATGTTGAAACACATAAGTATTTCTATCTAATGACCAGAAGTTATTCCTGAAACACTGTTAATGTTTAAATGGCAATTTAAATGATCTATTCATCTTACCAAACATTTAAATTAATGCATTTTTAATGGGTGGGTTAAAAATAGCATGAGTTACTCACCAGGAGTTAAACTATTCATGAAACCCTAAGAAGGAGATCAAAGAATAAATATTTTCAAAGTATTTTATATATACTTAGATTATAAATGTATAGGCTTTATTAAAAAATCAAATGTATATCTTGTTTTTATTTCTCCCAAAACTGGCTCAAATAGTGAGTTTAAACGCATTTTTAGTTCAATCATTATGTTCTCCATGTTGTAATATATATCATGAACAGTTTTTAACAATAAAATAGACAATTCTGCATTTTACTAGAGGTGGTGAAAATGTGGCCTATGTATTTACAAATATGGTAGAAGTTAACAAGCCATTTTTCCACTTATAGACAATTGCACTGAGTTAACTTGTGCCCTTGGGCCCAGTGATTCTATTGTGTTTTACCTAAAATGACATAATATTTCATTGTTTTAAATACTAACTTTATTTTTTACCTAAACTGACTATTAAAGCAGGCATAGAAACTTATTAAAGTAATTGTTGCTACTTTTAATAGAGTTTTACTTGCCCTTGGAATGCAAACCTATCAGATGCAAGTATTCAAGACATATGAAACATGGAATTCATACTTCAAATTACAAAGTCTACAATGTTTCCAAATTATTTCAGACACAGTTTTGCAATGTGTAGACATACACCATAAAAAACACACACACACACATACACACACATGTCCTCAAATAATGTAGATCCATCCACGAGATATTGTGTCTAAAAAACATATTTTAATATCCAATATCTATATTTAATCATCTAGGAAAAAAGAAGGATCAATGTTAAATGACCACACCAGTAACAGTGTTCTTGTTTTAATAAGATCTTTAACTTCTTTTTTCCAGAATAAATATTTAGAAAGCTATCATAGTATAATGAAATAAAATTTTAAGTAGCAGTTATCAACAATTTTAACCTTAAGTGTTAAATATCAAAAAGCAAATATTTACCAGTACGAATTTAAAATACGTCTTCAAATATCACTAATGAAACACAAAGCAACAGCATGGAAATCAAAATAACTACAGGAGTAGCAAAACTTCTCTTTTTTATAATATACCATTAATGCAAAATATTATGACAGTTCTTCTTACATCAGCAAACACAAATTATCGGAAAACATTTTTAAAAATGTACATCTTTAAGTAACAAAGCAATGGTTATCAGGAAATAAATGTTTCAGAAAAGTGATTTTGATTACTTTGAGTTTGATTACAACCTATTGCTGTTTATCCAGAAATTCTACTTGTTATAAACAGCCTGAACACCACTTATTCACTCTCCTTTTCTGGTAAACTTTCAAAAGTTCACACATGAAACTGAAGACATGATCCTTAAAAATTCAAGCACTTGAAAAAAATTACAATTATGCTATCATAAGTCTGGAATTAAAAATACTTACAGTCTTTCCAGTTCTTTCAGATCCTGGAATGCTCCTCTTTCAATGGTGCTAATCTTATTCTCCATAAGCTGACTGAAATGCAAAATATAACATGCTTCTTAAAGTCACCACTCACTATCTGAGAAAGTTTCAATTCAGCAACTTGAAACTTGTAACCACCTTCCCTTTATAAAGTTAAATTTTGTTCTGGTTTAAGATCCAGCATCAAAATGACTGAGGATACATTTGAGAAAACTCAAGGAGGGGAAATAGAATCCAAATCACAAATCTTGCATAGAAAATAGTGATAGTTTCTCACAAAATTCAGTAGACAAAATCCTGAACCTTAAACTATAATATTTCTAAAGAGCAATCTGTGATGCTGCAGCTTTGATATCTGCTTTTTGGTAGACTGATTTTCCACTGAGTTCTTAACTAAAGAATCAATAAACAGTAACTCATCACATGCATACTTCAGTTTTGACTTAGAGATACACATCAGCAATGGGAAGACATCATAATGGCCAAAATGTATCCCAAGAGGTGAACAAGTTCACAGTCATCAGAAGTATATGACCTTGAGATATAAAAGTTTACACGCCTATGGGTAAAAACAATTTTACATATTACTCTCAAGTAATAGTGGGTTAAATTAGTTGTGAGTGAAACTAATTAAGGAACTAATCATATTGTAGTAATTTTATAAAAGCTACCAGATACTCATATAAGATACAAGCAACTTAGCCCAAAATATGACCAATACACTTTTTTTCACCAAAAACTACCGAAAAGTTATATTGCTTGAGTTTAATGTTAGAAATAATACCTAAATGTTATTAGTCTCATAAATTGTGAACTGTTCCATATTAGTAATAAGAAAACTCAGATTTATTTTTCTAGTTAATCTCAAATACTAAAAGTATCAAATGTCTCAGATTACATATTCATATCATGAAAGTAATTACATTTTTATACATATACTTAGGTTATGGTGTAACAAAGATTCAAGATCATTTCGGCAATACTGTTTCTATGGCATGAATCCCATCTTAAAAATTCAACTTTTAATCAAAATTTGAATTGCAATGATAAATAAAAGTAATCAACACATTAAATGAAATTGTGTTTGAGTCACTAGACCAGTTTTAAGAACTGAGATCAGTATATATAACCTTAAAAAGAAAAAAAAAATCTATCTCCAAAATACAGAGGAAGAACACACTTACAGAACTCTCAGATGTCTAAGGCCAGCAAAATCTGTCTTCGTAATCCGCGTGATGTTATTTCCATTCAAATCCCTATGAGAAAAGCAGAAAATGAAAGTTGCATTTCTCTCACTATCTGGTTAAGCAAAACTTAAAGCAACTTAGAGCTTGAAACGTTAGCCCAGTTAGCAGAACAGAGTCCCTGGGACAGAGAGGGAGCAAACTTTGAAAACAATGTTTTTAGCGTGACTCTTAGCCAGTTTGCAAAGCTCGTGTTTGCTGGCAAAGACAGGAACATGAGGTGGTTATGCCACCACGGAAAATTCTCTTTTCCTGTGTGTCTCTTGTGTGTATGGAAGCGCTTTCAATTTTTGTACTTATAAGGATGTGTCCATCCATTTCACAGGTATTCTGCTTTTTTCACTGTTCTTGTTAGACACACCCCCAAAAAGTTCCCTTCAAGACGTTAAAGGAACAGTTTTTTCACCCTATTCAGGAGGAAATTTTTAAAATCCGAATGCTAACCTTAGGTAGCATGGTGGCTAAACTTCTGAAGGCAAAGAAAAAAGTTAGCGTGCCATCAGGAAAACTGCATTTCATGGATTGCATTCCTAGGCGTTTACCTTCCTACCTTTGGAGGAAAACTAAACTCCCAGGCAGCTCCGGGAACCCCACTGCGAAGGCAAAGGGGAAACTGCGGGGGGCGGGGGCAATACTGGAAATGGGATTCAGGCCCTGACACTTTTGTTCAGATTTCAGCACCACTTTGCCTTCAAGAGTCGAACTCCCCTTCTCTGGCATCTCAGGTCAAGATCTAAACTTGCCCTGGTTCCAATCATTTCAACTAAAACCAGGTTTCGCTGGAGCCTGAAGATCCTCCCTCGTGGAAGCAGGTTCTCCCTACCTTTGACTTGAAAACTTCATGTTTGAAAAAATCTATTTGAAGAGCTTACTTCGTCAATGACACAACTTCGTAAGCCAGCGCTGAGTCAACTGTTTTCTGACAACTCTTTATATAGATTCCTTTCTAAGGATTTTTTTTTCCCGAAAATCTGAAACTCAATGGCCATTTCCCCCGCTCTGAGTACACTCCTTTTTTGTTGGGTAAGATACGTTAGTGCTTAAACTTTAGACTCTTCTGAACAGCATGAAATGACGAATGCTAAAGCTGAATCCCGCATTGCCTCTCTGTCTCTCCAATCCGCTTCTCCACTCTGAGCAAAGTGCCACTGAGCTCTTCCTAAAATTGTTGGGGTCTTTCACCGACTATTTAACTGGAACCTCGACCCCCCCACACACCAGGGACAAAGGTGGGTCACGTCTTCTCTAGACAGCCCTCGTGGGGGACCCCGGCTCGTCCAGGACTGAGGACCTGAGAGAGACGGAAAGGAATGAGGGGGGACCCAGTGGCCTGGGGCGTGGGTGGGGGGAGAAGAAGAGCCTTTGCGAAGGAAGAAAGGGCTCACCTTGGGCGTTCTGGCGGCCAAGGAAATGGGCAGGATAGGAAGGGAGACTCCAGGCGCTGCGGAGGGCGCGGGTACAGCCCTGCGGGTCTGAGGGCGCCCTCTCCGAGACCGCAAGCCCCGCCACCCCGGGGCCGAGGAGGCCGCGGAAGCAGAGTCCAGGACCGCTCGCCCCCGGCGGCCTCGCCCCGCGCTCGCCGCGCCCGCGGGGCCCACGCGCAACCGCAAGAGCGGAGCGCGCCCGGCGGCCTCGGCGCTCACAAAGAGAACGGCCTCCATGCTCCACTTCCCTGAACTCGGGAAGCGCCCCGCCAGGAGCGCGAGGGCCGTCCACGCCGGCTCTGCGTTTACTTCTTCATTAGAGACTCGCAGAGCCCCGGGAGGCGTGCGGGCAGCGGAGCGCGAAGAGGCAGAGGCCACGAGCTGCAGCTGTGCGCAGGGGCGCAGACACCGCCCGGGAGGTGGCGGAGGGCTGGCGGGGGCAAGCCCAGCGCCACGGGGTCGCCGACACAGCCACACCGGCTCGGCGGGCTAACTTCGCCGAAAGGACGGGACACGGTCGTCCGCCGCAGTCCCTCGCTCCGAGGAGTACCTCGGGCTCGCCGCTGCCGCCCCGCAGAAGCAGGGGGCAGGGCAGAGAGTCGCGGGGGGCTACACGTGGCCACTGCGCGAGGCGTCGGCTCCCTCCTGGCCTGTGAGAAACGCCCCTGGGCGCCCCCAACTACCCCTTCTCCCCTCACTTCGTCCCCAGCGAGGCGACAAAAAGCCAGAGGGCGGAAGTTTTTTTTTTTTTCCCTCTTTTGAACCAACCCCCTGCCGCGTCCCCTCCTCGCCAGCCCCGGGTGACAAGAATGGAGACCCGGCCGCGACAGCAACCGCAAGGTGACTGCGTTGGCGGAGTCTCAGGAACTAAGTCGCGTCTCTCTATCCGAGAGTACCTGTCCCCCACCTCCCCGCTCCCTAGATCCCGAAAAGGCGCCCGCAAGCGGCTTCGAGTGGCGGGACCAGCGCCGGGGGCGGGGGGTGGGGAGCGAGGCGTCGAGCGCCGCCGCCCGCGGACCCGCCCCTCCCTGGGCAGTGCCCTCCCGGAGAGCCCACCTCCGCTGCGCGCGTGCAGGAGAGGGAGCGAGGGCTGCGCCAGGCACAGGTCCGGCGCCGCTCGGTGCCTCCGGTCCGGGGGCAGGAGGTGCGCGACCCCGACGGAGAGAGCGCAGAGCGCATACTCACAGTCTCTCGGTGTTGCGGGGAATGTTCCTGGGCACGCTGCGCAGCGCCAGCCCGTGACAGTCCACCGTGCTGCCGGAGCAGGAGCACTGCGCCGGGCACGCCTGCGGCGCCACCTCACTCAGGATCGCCAGCACCAACCCCAGCGACAGGGGCAGTGTCTGCCAGCCAACGCCGCGCATCTTCCCCCGCCGCCGCCGCCGCCTCCTCGCCCGCTGGCGCCAGGGGTTTCTCTAATAGCTTGCTGCTCCGAGCGACCCTTGCACGGTCGGAGGCTCAGCGCCCGGCGTGCCCAGGGAGATGTGCACAAAATAATATGGAACAGTAATAATATTCAGGGCAGTAGAGCCGAGAGAGGCACACACGCCTCCCAGCTCCCTCTTCCACCCTCCTCTGGCAGGGCAGGCGCTCCTTGAGCAACTTCAGGTCCTGCAGAGCAGAGGGCCTGGCCCAGGCTGCAAGGAGACCCCGAGAGCGGCCGAGGGGGCGATCACGCGCGTCTTCCGTCTCCTAAGGATCAACTTGGCGGTAAAGGCGCCAGGGCTTCCAACGACCGCGAAAATGCAGGGGCCGGTTGCAAGGGGAGAGTGGGAGGGGGAGGGGAGTGCTCTGATCCCACGCACCCCTCTGCAAATCCAATTCCACTGGGGAGAGGGTACGAGGCAGAAGAGCGGAGCTCAGCAGAAATGGTGGCCCCGGATGAGTGTGGGCTCCCTGAAGCTAGAAGGCGCAGGAGGAGCCCTGTGGGCCCGAAGCGGAGCGCGCCGGGCGACTGGGCATGGCGCGCGGGGGCGCACGGGGCGGACGCGCAGCCCCCGGGGGGCGCGGGGCGGCGCTCACTCACGCGGCCTCTCCCCCGCCCGCAGCCCCGCCGCAGCCCCGAGCCGTCCTCGCGGTCTCCCGGCTGCCAAGGATGGTTTGCCAACACACATGCACTTCGCTGGAGGATGTCTCGGCAATCCCGCCTCCCGCCCGGCGTCCTTGGCGACGCTCTGCACCAGGGCCTGCCCCGAGGTCACGCAGGAAAGACAAAAGGGCAGTCCGATCGCTGCAGCCGTGCAGAAATATCCACGGGGTCAGCACCCCAGCACAGGAAATCCGAGAGGCGAAGTTGAGGACCAGAGCTCCCGCGAAGACCTCGTGGGCACCGGCTGGAGCAGGACTTACAGCCGGGCAAGCCGGAAGGAGCCGACAGGCAAAGGCCAAGGTGGAGGTGTCCGCGACCCGGGCCCTGCAGGGGTGTCCTGCAGGGTGGCTGGGGGGCCGGCGGGTCGGTGGGATCCGCGACTCCGGGAACGGCCCGGCCGCGGTGCGTGCGCGCGGGTGGCAGCCCCTGTGGTCTCCCGGAGACGCCGCAGCTCCGCGCAGACACCTGATGGCAAAGGTAGAAGAGATGACCGCCGGCCGAGGCAGCCGCCCACCAGTAGATCCTCCTCCTCCAAGTGCAGGAACTTTTCCCAAGGTTTTGAGTCGCGTGCCCCACGGCCACGGTGGGGGTCCGCCCGCCGACGTCGCGACGCCGCCCGGCTCCGAGTCCTGCACCTGCCTCGGCTGCGGCAGCCCCTTCCCCTCTCCCGGCTGCCCTGCCGCTTCCTGGGCCTCCTCCTCCGGGGAGAGAGAGGGCAGGCGGCGGCTCGGCCGGCTCCGGAGTCCCCGGCAAGTGTCTAAACAATAGGACGGACGCGGCAGCAGCCGGAGTCTCGCCGGGCTACGGGAAGGTGGCTTGTTGCTGTAACTGGAGTTGTCCGGCTCCGGCTGCCTGGCGCTGGGTGCAGCCGAACAAAACGCGGGCCCGCGCCTCTGGAGCCGACCGCAGACCCCCGGACGCTCCCCCTTTTTGCTCAGCACTCCTGCCGCGCCCGGATAGCTCGGCAGCTCCGGCCTGCGCCCGGGAACCTCGGCGCTCCCATCACTCGCCGCCGCCGCCGCCGCCTGTTTAGCCACCGTCTGCGGCAGCCCCCGCCGCCAACCTCCACCGTCCAGGAGCTTCCCAAATAAATAACCCCAACTCCGAAGTTAAGCCGGCGAGGGCCTTATATAGCCACCCGAGCCCCCACCCGCCCCCGGCCCCGCCCCGCGCGGGCAGGGCCCGCCCCCTGGCTGCGCGCTGGGAGCCCGCACCTCGCCGGGGAGAGGTGAGGCCCGGGCTGCCAGCGCCGGGCGGAGGCGGCGGCGGCGGCGGGCGCGCGTCCCCGTGCGCCGCGGCTCGCGCCCTCGCTCCCACGCCCGGGCAAAGTTTGCGGCGGGAAGGAGGCTCCCCGGCCCCCGCCCCCAGCTCCTTGGCCCCAGAGGTGACCCTGGCTCGGAGACGGTGGCTCGCAGCGGGACTGCGGGGAGAGAGGGCGGCTTTGAACGCGGCTCATAAATAGCGCTGCCGGCGCCTCCGCTGCAGCTTTTGCCACGCGCTCCTAAGGGGGCTGCCGAGTGCTTGCAGCGCTGCGACGGAGAGAGGAGAGTATGATTTAAAATAAAAAAATGTAAAAAAAGGAAGCCTACCGAAATAGATCTGCCTGCGCTCGCAGACACACACACGTGTATTTTGGGGAGCTTAAAAGTTCAGAGTTTCTGCAAGTTGGAAAACGGTGGCTTTCGGCCTCCAAGCCGCCCCCGTCCATTTAACCCTTTGTTTACAGGCACACAGAACCGCCAGGCTCAGCTGAGGCTTTGAACGTACAGCGCTCCTCCAAGTCTGGGGGCCTGAATGTCTCTGTGATCTGACTCCCTTGGGGCGGAAAGGAGAGAAAAATAAATCCCTAGCAACGTGCGTTGCACCAGACGGTTTCCTTTATTTCAGGGCGGTTCTGGGTATTTTTTCCCCACTATGTTTTGAAAGAGAATTTCCTTGTTTCTTCTTGGTGCGGTGTGTCTGGCAACAGCTACCATTCTCCCGCTCACCCCAAGGAACACCAACGCCACTGCAGGTTTGAAATGACTTCCAGAATGAGCCCTCTCCTTCGGTTGAATTTAAACGCAGCACCTCGTCCCTCTTCCTCCTCCTCCTCCTCCCATTCCGCCTTTAAAAAGCTTTCATGGGAACTTGTGTGAGCCTGGAGCCTATTGCTGTTCTTGCAGTATGGTAGTTATTTCTGTAATTCTCTGTCGTTCCTTGGAAAGCGAGAGCACCTGTCCAATTCTTTTTTTTTTTTTTTTTTTTTTTTTTTTTTTGCATTTCCAGCATCCAACAAATATGCTGGCACATAGTAGGTGCTCTGAGAGCCAATGTCTTCAACAAATATGCTGGCACATAGTAGGTGCTCTGAGAGCCAATGTCTTCAAATCAAGAATATATTCAACCCTAAATCTCTCCACTATCTTCAATAACATTGTTCCTACTTAAAATTTTTCTGAAATGTTCTTTTATAATGGTTGCTTCTACCTATGTCATTTTGCCTGGTCTGCAAAGCCCCTCCCTTTTTTAAGATTTAATTATTTATTTATTTGAGAGGTACAGTTACAGACAATGAGAGGGAGAGACAGACAGAAAGGTCTTCCATCTGCTGGTTCACTCCCCAAATGGCAGCAAGGAGCCTCTTCTCTGTCTCCCCTAAGGGTGCAGGGGTCCCAGCACTTGGGCCATCTTCTGCTGCTTTAGCAGGCCATAGCAGAGAGCTGAGCCGGAAGAGGAGCCATAGGGATTTAGGCCACTAAGACATAGCACCAGCCCCTGCAAAGCCCTGTTGAGGGCATTTCTGAAGACAGGGTAGTCACACAATAGTAACTGAATTGGAGCTTTCATGTTAGTAACAGATTTGTATTGCAAGATTCTTTGTAACAGCTTCAAAGCATTTAACATTTATTAACTCATTTGTCCTTCTAGATTTAGCTTTAAGGTCTACTGTGTAATTAACTTCCTTGAGAAAGAGAAAAGAGAAGCCATAGTCACATTTTCTTGTGAGGAAAATGATGAGACAAAGAACAAGCACCTGTCACTGAGGAAGGATTCCTCCCCTAGGTGAATTTCCTTTCCAGGAAATTAGGTGGTTAAGGGATGGCTGCGACTTCAGTGATTTTGTTTCAATTCAAAACTTTAATACTTTGTTGGCAGGCAGCAAGTCGTATTTATGTTTCACTTTATCCACCACATAGAATCACTGTTATTTTAATTGCAATAGGGTGTCCTGCATTCCAGATATTCCAAATAATATTGATAGTTGCATGAATGAAATTCTTAGATATTAATTCAAATTTGATTCTCTATGGCTTACTTTCCACTCTGTAAAACCAAAAAGGAGCTGAACATAACATTCATAGAAACATGCCTATGGGGCCATATTTTTTAAATTTGATGCAAATTTAAATACCAAGCTATGTCTTATGGATTTCATTAAGAAAAAAGGAAGACTGCAACTAATTCCTGAGAAGCATGGCACATCAATTTTTGTGTGTCATCAACTTTGAG